TTGGAGTATAGTTTTTCATATTATTCTGTTATGATCCTTTTTATTTCAGTTGAGTCTGTTGTAACATCCCCTATTTCATTTCTTATTTGGGTTATTTGTGTCCTCTCCTGTTTTTCTTTTGTCAGTTTGGCTAGTGGTGTGTCGATTTTGTTGATCCTTTCAAAAAACCAACTTTTGGTTTTGTTGATTCTTTCTATTGTTTTTCTTTTCTCTATTTATTTCTGCTCTGCTCTTTATTATTTCCTTTCTTCTGGTGGCTGTAGGCTTCTTTTGCTGTTCTCTTTCTGTCTGTTCTAGTTGTACAGCTAATGTTTTGATTTTGTCCGTTTCTTCTTCTTTGATGTGTGCATCTATTGTTATAAATTGACCTCTGATCACTGCCTTTGCTGTGTCTCAGAGGTTTTGGTATGATGTGTTTTCATTCTCATTTGATTCTAGGAATTTTTTGATTCCATCTTTGATTTCTTCTCTTACCCTGTGGTTTTGACGCAGTTTCCATGTAACTGATTTTTTTCCTTGCTCTTCCTGATATTAACTTCTACTTCAATGGCTTTGCAATCAGAGAAGATACTTTGTATTTTCTCAATGTTTTGGATTTTGCTTAGAGTTGCTTTGTGGTGTGGTCTGTTTTGGAGTGGTCTGTTTTGGAGAACATTCCACGTGTGTTGGAAAAGAATGTGTACTTTGCTGCTGTTGGGTGGAGTGTTCTATATACGTCTATGAGGTCAAGTTGGTTGATTGTGGCCTTTAGACCTTCTGTATTTTTGTTGAGTTTCTTTCTAGATGTTCTGTCCCTTACCAAGGATGGTGTGTTGAAATCTCCTACTATTATTGTGAAACTATCAATTTCTCTTTTCAGTGGTGTTAGAGTTTATTTTATGTATATTAGAGCACTGTCATTGTGTGTGTGTAGATATTTATTATAGTTATGTATTCCTGACAGATTGTCCATTTAATCATTATATAATGCTCTTCTTTGTCTTTTATGGTGGATTTTGTTTTAAAGTCTATTTTATCAGATATTAGTATTGCAAATCCTGCTTTTTTTGGTAGCTGTTTGCTTGATACATTTTTTTCCATTCTTTTATTTTTAATAAATCTATGTCTTTGTTTCTAAGGTGTGTCTCTTGTAGATAGCATATTGATGTGTTCTGTTTTTTTATCAGTTCTGCCACTCACTGTTTCTTTATGGGAGCATTTAAGCCATTTACGTTCAGTATGATTATTGATAGGTGTGAGTTTATTGCTGTCATTTGTAGTGCCTTTTTTTGTGGTACTGATGTTTTCTTTGTTCCTCTTACTCTTCTGTGCTGAATTCCTTTTGTTTGTGTAGTTTTTTCATTTGTGTAATTTTGTGTTTACTAAGACTTTATGTTTTTCTTCTTTATTTTGATGAGTAGGTTTATTAACTTTCTTTGTTGTTACCTTGAAATTTACCCCACCTTCCTATATTTAAACGAGTCTTTTGTTAACTGATAATGCCTTGAGTTCCTCTCCATTTAAAAGTTCTATACCTGCATCGTTTATTTCCTCTTTTATTGTTCTGATGTTGTTGTCATTCACAGATTGACGTCTCTGGTTCTCTGTTGTAAATCTTTTAGTTTCGTTTTATCCTGCAGAGTTCAGTATCTAGGTTGGTATCTGGCTGATGCTGTCTTATGCAGTAGATTCAGGTTGCTGTCTGATGTTGTTAGTTCTCTAACTGAAGGATACCCTTAAATAATTCTTGCAAGTTTGGTTTGGTTTTTTACATATTTCCTTAATTTGTGTTTATCTGGAAATGTCCTAATTTCATCATCATATTTGAGCGAGAGTTTTGCGGGATATATTATTCTTGGTTAGCAGTTCTTTTTCCTCAGGATTTTACACACATCATCCCATTGCCTTCTTGTCTGCATGTTTTCTGCCGAGTAATCAGAGCTTAGTCTTATTGTTTCCTGTTTGTAAGTGACTTTTCGTTTTTCTCAAGCTGCTCTAAGGATTCTTTCTTTGTCTTTGGCTTTAGCGAGTGTGATTATGATATGCCTTGGTGATTTTCTTTTGGGGTCTATCCTATATGGAGTTCGTTGAGCTTCCTGGATAGTCAGCTTTCCATCTTTCATGATATTAGGGAAGTTTTCTGTCAGCAAGTCTTCAAAGATTTTCTCTGTGCTTTCCATTTTCTCCCCCTGTTCTGGATCTGTGATTACTCGCAAATTTTTTCTTTTGATTGTATCCCACATGTTCTCAGGGTTTCATCATTTTTCTTTGTTCTTTTCTCTGATTTTTCCTCAAATGAAGTGGTATCCAAGGATTTGTCTTCAATTTCACTGATCCTATGTTTCATTGTTTCAAATTTGCTCCTAAAACCTTCCTGCACTGTCCATTTCTGAAATCTTGTTGTTTATCTTTTGGATTTCTAATTGCTGTTTTTGTATGATTGCTTGTTGTTTGTTTATTTTGACATTTTGTTCCTGTATTATTTGCCTGATTTCTTGTTCTGTCTGTCTTTTCCCTGATTTTGTCTGTATTTTCCTGATTTTGTTCATTTTTTCCATATTTTTGTCTGCATTTTCCTTCATCTGTTAGAGAATCCTGCATATTAGACTTATGAATTCCCTATTAGGTGGTTCCAGTGCCTTTGCCTGTAGCAGAAGGTCATCTGGTGTTTTATTTTGGTTGTTTTCTGGAGCCAGCCTCTCCTTTTTTTAATATGTTTTGATAATGTATGCTGTCTCCAGGACATTCAAGAATTACTTTTTTCGTTTATTTATTGTAGATTTGATTGCTTCATCCTGCTTTTTGTTTTATTTGGTTATGTCTAGGCAGGTAGGCTGGGTGTGTTTTGTTGCTTGTTTGCCTGTGGGCATGATAATTAATCACGAATTTGTCCAAAAGGGCAGGGCTGGACACTCAGCTGTGGTGCAGCAGGGTGGGTCCAAGAGGGGTGGAGGGGCAGGGATGGCTAATTTGCAGCACAAGCTGGGGACGACAGGGTGGGGCTTGGGGGTAGTGCAGGGTAGGGTCAGAGGTGTGGCACTTGGCACACGGTGCAGACAGGAAGGAGGGAAAGGAGAGAGCTAAGTGGGTGGGTGAAAGAAGAGAAAGAATAGAGATAAATAAGGGTAAAAAAAGTGAAAAGGAAAGCAAAAATGAAGTAGAAAAAAATAAATTTTAAAACAGTAAATAAAATGGCAGTGTGGTAGGATTTGGCTGGTGTGGGCGGGGCAGACCTGGCTAGGCCATGTGCTGGTGGTTCTCTAGCTGAGCGGTGTGGCTCAGCCTGCAGAGAAGCGGCGTGGATGGCTCCCAGGGCTAGATGGGCAGAAGAAAGGAAAGGGGAAAGAGAGGGAAGAAACCAACAATGAAAGAAACAAAAAAAAATTTAAAAAGAATAAAAATTAAAAACAACTACAAAAAAAAAACATGGTGGTGGGGGCACTAGCCATTGGAAGCAGGGCAGAATTGGGGTGGCAGTGAGGTGATAGCTCTCTCACCAGGTGGCACAGCACGCCCTGTCAGGAAGGGGTGGAGGCAATGAAAGGCCTAGGTGGGAGGGAGAAGGAAAAGGAGAAGGGGAAAGGTAAAGAAAAATATAAAATATGGCACTCAGGCAGCTGGCCTGTGGGGGTGGCGCAGACCCAGGGGGCCATGTTCCAGAGGCTCTCCAGCTGAGCAGTATAGTACTGCCCACCAACAATTTAGGGGTGGTGCACGGGGCTAGATGGATGAGTGAAAGGAAAGGAAGGAAGGGAGAGAAAGAGAAGAAACAATAACCAAGAAAAAAAAACAGAAAAAAGCCCAAAAAACCCAAACAAATAATAAATAAATAAAATGGCACTGAGGGAGACAGCGACCTGGTGAGGCCATGTGCGGTGACTCTCCAACCAAGTTGTGCAGCACAGCCCCTCCAGAAGGGGCAGAGGTGGTACAAAAGGCTGAGTGGTTGGGAGGAAGGAAAGGAGAGAGAGAGAAGAAAGAGAAAAGAAGAAAAAACAAAGAACAAAGCAAACAAACTAAAAAATCACAGCCCGTCAAGAAGGGGCGGGGATGGCACACGGGGCTAGCTGGGCAGGAGAAAGAAAAGGGAGGAAGGGAGAGAGATAAAAGCAACAACAGCAACAACAAAATCTAAAAACAAACAAATAAAAATACAAAACAAAACAAACAGACAAAAAGAATGGTGCTGAAGGGGCCGGCTGGTGAGGGCAGGGCAGACCCCGGGGGCAGTGAGCTAGTGTCTCTCCGGTCCAGCAACTGTGGCCCATTGGCAAGCAGCAGAGGTCACATAGAGGGAAGAAGGATGGGGGGTGGGAAAACGTGTATCCCTGGTTACTGTGTGCTCTGTCTCCTGCTGGGAGCTCCGTGAAGTTGCCTTTCCGTACTCCCTGTCTGAGTTCTTTGGCGGCTGTAGCCCAAGATGGCAAATCTGGGTGGTAGTGAGCTGGTATCTCTCCAGCCAAGCAACCGTGGACCATTGGCAAGTGGCGGAGGCTTCATACAGGGAAGAAGGGTGTGAGGTGGGAAAGTGTGTATCCCTGGTTACCAGGTGCTCTGTCTTCTTTTGGGAGCTCTATGAATTTGCCTTCCTGTACTCCCTTGTCTAAGTTCTTTGGTGGCTATATCCCAAGAAGGTGAATCTGGCTACGTTAGCTGGTAGGGGGTCTCTACTCTGTACCTCTCCTCATTCTCTGTTAGTTTCTTAGCCCATTCGGTGCTTGATAGAGTTCTTTATTCCTTTATTTGCTACTCAGGGTTCCAAGATTGACATTTGTATCTGTTTCACTAGGTTTTTCCAGTCTTTGCTGCAGAGGGACAGCGTGGTACTGCTGTATATAGCACCATGCTGGCTCCGCCTCAAAGAGTTTTGTTTTTTTTTTTGTTTGTTTTTTTTACTGGGGGAAAAGTTACTTTAGAGAGGGTTCACAATATTCTATATCCACTTCCTCAGCAACGTCACCCCTCCTCAACCCACCAGACCTCTACATGCATTCTTAATGAAACCATATTTACATACTGACCTGAAGAACAATAAGCTGGAATTTAGTCCCTTTCTCTGGTCGGGGACAAGAAGCTCTTCTCTGTTTAATCCGATCTTGCTTGCCATTTCCACTTGGGTTATCAGGGCTATTAGTGTTTTCCTTCATAGCTGCTACATCATGATTCAAGCTAGTAATGAAAAAAAAGTAACAGCTATTCAACTTCTCAGAGCAGACAATATCCTGTAATTCTCAAAGCCCAATATTTACCCCAAATCAGAGTTAACATCTGAAATTCCTTAATGGCTAAAATCATTCCAATCCTGATATAGTATTAAAGTCTAAGGAAAACTCATAATTATAAAATCATAAATAATAAATTCAAGGAAAATGTATTGGTGGTTCAGTGGTAGAATTCTTGCCTTCCATGCAGGAGATTCAGGTTCAGTTCCTGGCCAATGCACTTCATGTGCAGCCACCATCCATCTGTCAGTGGAGACTTGCATGTTCCTATAATACTGAACAGGTTTCAGTGGAGGTTTCAGACTAAGATGGACTAGGAAGAAAAGCCTGGCAATCTACTTCCAAAAATCAGCCAATGAAAACTCTATGGATCACAACAGTCCGATCTGCAACCAATCACAGAGATGGCACAGGACTGAGCAACATTTTTGTCTCAATGTGTGTGGGGTCACCATGAGTTGGGAATGGACTTGACAGCAGCCAACGACAATATCTTTTAAAAAGTTCTGACTGCACAACCCTGTGAATATACTAAAAGCCACTGAATTGTACACTTTAATGGGGTGAATTGCAGGTTATGTGAATTATATCTTAATGCTGTTGGCTGCTGTCAAGTTGACTCCAACTCGTGCCGGCCTCATGTACAACAGAACAAAATATTGCCCAGTCCTGCATCATTCTCACATCTGCCAACCTGTTTGAGTCCATTGTTGCAGCTATTGTATTGTGCTAATCTTTCCCACTGAGGGTCTCCCACACCTTCATTGTCCCTCTAGGTTACCAAACATGATGTCCTCCAGCGATTGATCCCTCCTGATGATGTTTCCAAAGCAAGCAAGTCAGATAATGTTCTCTTGTGATTCATGAGATTTTCATTGGCTAATTTTTGGAAGTAGATTTCCAAGCCTATCTTCTAAATCTTTCTTAGTCTGGAAACTCCGCAGAAACCTGTCCACCATGGGTGACCCTGCTGGTATTTGAAATGCTGGTGGTATAGCTTCCAACACCATAAGAAAACACAAGCCACCAGAGTACAACAAACTGACAGATGAGTGGTGGATATCTCAATACTTATTGCATTTATTTGGCAGATACCTTCTCACAGTGGTAGGATTGCCAGGGATGTACCTCTGTGAAACCTTTTATTACGGGGTGCTCTATATCAATTTTGTTTTGAGGTTCCTTCATTAATATGTTCAAATAAAATTTCTAAAAGCCAATTCTAACTTAAAATATATCCGTTTATATAACAATTTCAACATAGGATAGACAGAGCAAGTGTGAGACATAGAAACAGTGTAGGAGGCAGAACAAGAAATGAAAATAAATGATGTGAAAATAGTTCAACATAATTAATTCTAACTACTCAGAAATCAATAGAAAAATGACGATCCCCCCAAGTAAACATAGTTCACTAAAGAAAAAGTACAAACTAACAATAAGCACTTGATAAAATGCTGAAAAGCAAAAGGCCTGCAGGATAAAACAGAATTAGGGAATTTTTCACCTAGTAAATAAAATATATTTATTATATTTAAATATTTATATTTCCAGTGGGAGGACAGACACTTTTGGGGTGAGTGAATTAGATCAACTTTCTAGACAGAAATGTAGTATATTTATTATACTTTAACATACCCTTTACCGATCAACTCTATTTCTAGAAAGTTATCCTACAGAAACACCAATACAAATACATGAAGACATACGCACAAAGATGACATTCATATTAAACAAGATTTTTATAAGAGTCAGGCCTACTGCATGCCAAGTTCTGTGTACAGTACTTTATCATCATTTAATGCTCATAACCGCTAAATCAGTGTACTACTGCTAGTATTCAGTTTACAGATAGTAAAACTGAGATTTAAAGAAGAAGAACATGCTCAAGGTCATTCTGCATGCGATCAGCAAAGCTGGGATACAAATCCTGTTCATGCTTGCAGACATTATTTGCAATAGCAAAAATTGTAACCAGGTCCAAGTTCATTAACTGGAGGTGGATGAAACAAATTATGGTTCATCTAGACAAAGCAATAGTAGCTAGCTGAAAAAGTGAAGTAGATTTGTATATACTATAAAGATCAACATGATACATAAAACAAAAAAGCAAGATAAATGCTAATCTCATTTTTGTTTAAAAAAATAATAAACTGAGAAATATGATTAAAAAAATAATTCTAACTAGTTATATTTCATAGGTTCAAATCAATATGATTATCAAAGGACAGAATAACTTTTAGTTTATCTGGGTCAAAGGTATTTTTTAGCTCTTTCTCTAATAAGCTTGAGATACTTCAATAAATACAAAACTTTACCAATAGAATACATCTGAAATTTAAATTATAAAATTGGTAAGCACCAAACTAGTATCATTTAAATTAATTTTTAGGTAAGCCCTTTCTCCTAAAAATTACTCATGAAATATCTGCATAAAGATAGACAAGAAGAGATAAAAATAACTCCTAATTTTTTTTCTATGTCCATGTGAAAAAGGATTTGCATAAACACAAGTAGTGGAATAAGATATGTTAATACTGCCCTTGGAGTTTTTAACATGCAGAGAAATGGCAGTATCAAATAACCTTCCTCAGAATATAAAAGAAACATAATTCTAGCTAATAGGGCTGTATCATTCACATTCAAAGTTACCTTAAAACACTAGTTTCATGTTTGGGACAAGACGGCAGAAACACATATCTCCCTGCTCCTCCTGCCTAAGTACAACTTAAAATTCTGAAAAAAAATAATACAGTATACAATCACAGGAGAGCTCTGAAGGGTGAAAAGATGAAAGCAGACTGCCTAGGGACACCCAGGACTTAAGGAAAAACATTGCAGCTTGGTGTCTCCTGATAATCTGCCCAGCAACAGAAGGCAATCCAGGTGCAGCATCTCCGGATCCCCTACCCCAGCAGCACTGAGGGCCTGAGACCAGGCCTGGGGAAGTACTGTCTCTGCCCCTTGACCAAGCATCTCCCATCCTGAACCTAGTGGAAAGAGACCCAGAGAAGTACATTCTGCCCTCGACAGGCAGCATCACAGGGAGCCCCAGGGTCTCAGGTGAATGAAGCAGACTGGAAGTGCACTATAAAGGCTCTGAAAAAAATTGTCATTAGAAAAAGAGCCCACAAAAGTAGGTCAGGATCTATGTATCTAAACAGGTGACTGCCTGCGAAAACACAAGATTTAAATAGGATCCAGAGTCTACTAACATAATATCCAAAATGTCCAGAAGGCAATCTAAAATCCCTTGTCATATCCCAGACCAGGAAAATCACAACTTAAATGAGAAAAGACAATCAACGGATGCCAACACCAACATAAGTCAGATATTGGAATTATCTTACAAGGATATTAAAGCAGCCATAATCAAAACGTTTCAATGAGCAATTAGAAATTCCTTTAAAAAATTGAAAAAAATAGAAAATCTCCATGAAAGAAACAGAAGAAATAAAAAAGAACCAAGTGGAAATTACAGAACTGAAAAAATACAATAAAAGAAATAAACTCACTGAAACAGAGGAATCAGTGAACCTGAACACAGAACAGAAATTATCCAATCTGAACAACATAGAGAAAAATACTAGTTTATAAATACCAAATAATACCACAATTATATATATAGTTATAATATGTTTCCTTAAATTAGTTTAAATTTTACTCTACATTATATAATTTCTTACTTCTTATTTAATCTGTATTAGCTTTTCTTAGAAAAGAATAGCATAAAGAGAACAAAAAAAAATAATCTCACAATCCATATGATCACTATTGACATAAAAAAGTAAAAATAACACCTACAATTTTTATTAAACATACACACAAATACAAACACAGAGAAGCTTCTGTGGTCAAGACACACCAAGATCCTAATGAATGCACACACTTAATCATATGCTCATTGTTCTCATGGTATTAATTTAAAGATACTTACCTATGAACTAAATCCGATTTTAGAAGAGTTGACTGTTGTTCAACTCCAACTGGCTGGGATACAGGCTGTAAATAGTATAAAAATAAAACTTGTCAATGGTAACAGTAAATTTCAAAATAGAGATGCAATTTGCTATTTTAGAAAACATGATTGTTACATTTGATGTTTTGGTTATCTCAAAACTAGGTAGAATATCTATATTATTGTCTATAGGTCTATATCAATCCTATTAGTGATGTTACTACCAAAGATACAGAAAAATAAAATGTACACTTCATCATCAATGTTTTTATTAAAAAAGATAGTATTGTTTTATGCACTTTAGTTTCCATTGTTTTCAATGGCATACAGTACTATTCATCTTCCAGTCCTAACTGTAAAACTACTACTAAAAAGAAGAGTTGCTTCTATTACACAAGAAGATAAATCAAGGAATCATTTTAATGCACTGTGTGGTATATATGTCTCTCTCTTGCTCCTTTTAAACAGTATCTTTTCACTAAACTACTGCTAATTATTCTTTTGAGACATTAATATCCAGCAGCGCAACACTGGCAACTGAGGGACAAGTTTAAACCTACTAAGGAGGCAAATACCAACACTCTTGAAAAAAAGTTTTAAACACTATTCTATGCACAGTTATTGGTAACAGCATAGAGTGATCTTAAAATGCAAATCTGAAAGTCTTGAGCAAGACTGCAACACGAGCAGCTGATGCTCCCATCCCCGCCCACACCCTCCAAGCAAGCAAAAACTGGAAGAACAAACTTTGTCAGAACTCTGGAAACTATTAAGAAATTACAGCAACTAAACAACTGATAAAGCAAGAAAAAGGCAACAAATAAATGGTAGGAAAGCGTTGGTTTTCTACATGCCATACCCAACACCCTCCATGACTTGGCATGGCAATCTTAAAGCAGAAATGGCCAGAACTCCCAGAGAGGGAGCCTGGTCTCTGGCTCTAGATGGAGCAGAGCAAACATTATTTGCAAATTATTGTGTGTGTCTGTTCTAACTTGTCTGGGGGCTACCTGAAGGTGCTCATCTCAATTTGGCCTATACTGAAGCTTATGCAGGGCACAGAGGTAGCAGGAAACCACTGTCATTGCCTGTAGCTGGCTGAAGCTAAAGAGTGTCATTAAGACATACAATAGGTGCCTAAAGACTGGAAGGACAGGTCAGAGAGTCTCTTTTGGAAATGAAGGCTTTCAAAAGCATATGAAAGAATTAAGAAAGGCAGACACATGCTCAGGGCAAGACACATGCTCAGAAATTACCTGAGAAGACTCTACACTTTCACCTCGGGCTGATCTCTATGTACAGTGCCAGCCTGGCTAAATATTGAAGTTGTTGCCAGGTACAGAACTATTTTGCAAAGACAGAAAAGATTTTCTTCTTTTTTTACCCTTGGCATTAAACAAAATCTATCAAGACACTAGCTGAATACAAATTAAGAAACAGGGACTTCAGGGTCCACAAATGTCCAAGAAGGCAGTCACTGTGAAAAAAGTTAGTGGAAGTCACTAAACAAATGGACTACTACAGCCATCAACAATTAAAAACAAAAACGAACAAAACACAAAAGCAAGCAAAATCTGGGGAAGGGGAAGAATTTGATTTCCAGAGCTGGCATGTTAAAATAGTCAAATGTCCCAGTTTCAAGAAAAAATTACAAGACATACAAAGAAACAGGAAAGAAAGACCCATTCAAAAGGACAAAATAAAGAAACTGAAACCATCCCTGGGAAAGCCCACTTAATGGATATAGGAGACAAAATCATTAAAACAACAGTAAAAGCTAAAGGAAAACATGGACAAAGAACTCAAGGAAATCGGGGAAAAAACACAAGAACAAAATGAGAATACCAATATAAATATAAAAATTATACAATGGAACCAAATAGAAATACTGGAGCTGAAAAGTACAATAACTGAAATGAAAAACTGACTAAGGGGTGCAGTAGAAGATTTGATCCAGCAGAAGAAAAAAATCAGCAAACGTGAAGACAGGACAACTGAAATTATCAAGTCAAAGGAGCAAAAAGAAGAAAGAATTAAGAAAAGGAAACAGAGACTAAGGGTCTTGTGGGAAATCATCAAAGGAACCAAAATACACATTATGCAAGTCCCAGAAGGAGAAGAGGCAGAGAAAGGAGAAGAAAGAATTTCTAAAGAAATAATGGCTTAAAAGTTCCAAATTTGACAAAAGACATGAATCAACACATACAAGAAGCTCAATGAACCCCAAGTAGGAAAAACTCCAAAATATCCACATTGAGACACTTTATAACCAAACTCTCAAAACAAAGATAAAGAGAGAATCTTGAAAGCAGCAAGAGAGAAGGGAATCATCACATACAAGGGAGTCTCAATAAGATTCGATGCCAATTTCTCCTCAGAAACCAGGGAGACCAGAAGGCAGTGACAAGACATATTGAAAGTACTGAAATATATTTAAAGACATATTTAAAGTGTCAACCGTGACATTTGTATCCAACAAAACTGTTCCTCAAAAATGATGGTGAAATTAAGAGATTCTCAGATAAACAAAAGTTGGGTGAGTTCGTAACCATAAGATCAGTCTTACAAGAAATGCTAAAACGAGTCCTTTAGGTTGAAATGAAAGGACATCACACAGTAGCTAGAAGCTGCATGAAGAAAAAAATGATTGCCAGAAAAGGAAATTTTATGGGTAAATACAAGGCCAGTTTTATGGTATTTCTGTACATAAGAAATAATTATAGATTTATGTTATTGGGCACACGATGTATAAAGATGTAATTTGTGACAACAAAAAACAAAAAAGGGGGAGGAGTGGTACAGCAACAGATTTCGTGTCTGTTATTGAAGTTAAGTTGGTATCAATTTAAACTCGGTTGTCATAAATGAAGGAGACTTGGTGGCACACTGGTTAAAGCACTCAGCTGCTAACAGAAAGGTCAGTGGTTCAAACTCACCAGTGGCTCCATGGGAGAAAGGTGTGGCAGTCAGCTTCCATAAAGATTTACATCCTTGGAAACCTTATGGGGCAGCTCTACTCTGTACTATAGGGTCACTATGAGTCAAATCGACTTGATGGCAATGGGTTTTTACTTTTGTCATAAATGTAAGATGTTAAAAGAAATCCCCATAGCAACCACAAAGAAAATATTTTTTAAAAAATATGCAAGTGTAAACAAGAAAGGAATAAAAATGGTTCAGTACAAAAAAATCAACTAAAGCACAAAATATTGAAGGAAACAAGGGACAAACATAATATATGTAAATATCAAACCAAATCAAACCCGTTGTCGTCGAGTCGATCCTCATTCATAGTGACCCTATAGGACAGAGTAGAACTGCCCCATAGGGTTTCCAAGGAGCAGCTGGTGGATTTGAACTGCTGACTTTTGGGTTAGCAGCCAAGCTCTTAACCACTGTGCCACCAGAGCTCCGTGCGTACGTGTGTGTGTGTGTGTGTGTGTGTGTGTGTGTGTGTGTGTATCTCACACAGAAAACAAATAGAAAAAGCAGAATATCAGCAACTATTTAAATGAAAATGGTTTAAACTGTCTAATCAAATGGCAAAAATTAGCAAAATGGATTAAAAAAATGTACAACCCAACTACATGATGTCTACAAGAGACCCACTTTAGATGCAAACACACGAATAAGTTGAAAGTGAAAGGATGGGAAAAAACATTCCATGTAAATAGTAACTAAAAGAGAGCTGGGATGGCTACATTATTACCAGACAAAATAGAGTTTAGGTTAAACTGTGTTACAAGAGACAAAAAAGGACATTATATAATGATATATAATGATAAAAAGGTCAATTCACTACGAAGATATTATCCTTTCACCATACTTATTCAATCTGTATGCTGAACAAATAATCCGAGAAGCTGGACTATATGAAAAAGAATGGGGCTCAGGATTGGAGGAAGACTCATTAATAACCTGTGTTATGCAGATGACACAACCTTGCTTGTTGAAAGTGAAGACGACTTGAAGCACTTACTGATGAAGATCAAAGACTACAGCCTTCAGTATGGATTACACCTCAACATAAAGAAAAGTCCTCACAACTGGACCAATAA